AATACTATAAGAAAATGACTGACAGTGGTGGGAAACTATGTTGGGGTATAGGAGATGGGATTAACCGTAGTAAATATCTGTCTGGGTACAGGAGTCACCTCTTATCAACAAAGGTGCCTGAACGAAGTATATTTGTATGTCTAACCCTTAACTGTACCCCACAATATTGTAATAAAAATATTGATTAAAAAAAAAGAATCCATTTACCCTTAAGTGGCAAATATTGTCACAAAGCATACTGCTTTGTCCCCCTCAGTCTTTTTCACTGAGTCCTTGGAGAACATGTCAGTCCTATGGTAAAGACAGACCCAGCCAAAGTTAAATTAGTTGTCAAACCTGCTTTTGTTTCTTCCTAAGATGGTTTGCCATTCATGCAATAATTGCTTTCTTTAAATGGAAGAAACAAATCTTAAACCTCTTCAAAATCATGGTGAGGAGTACGTGTTCTTCCTTGGGCTGTGCTGAACTGCAGCACCTTGAATCAAGGTCCTGAAAATCCTGGAATGCTCCTCCCTCCTGGACTTTGGCCTTCCCCAGATCCTGACTTAGGGAGAAGCTACCCATGGAGAGGAAAGGTCTGTGTGTCCATCCATGTCCTCGTTTCTGTTTGCAGGGCCTGGACTTTGCAGGATTCACAGCACACATGTTCGTTGGGATTTGCCTTGTTCTCCTGGTCTCCTTCCCACTCCTCAGACTCCTTTACTGGAACAAAAAGCTTTACAACAAGGAGCCAAGTGAGATTGTTGGTGAGTATAAAAACCATCATATAGCTGAAGATTTTGTGACTGTAGTGTTATTTTTTTAAAGAGGAGTTCTTACAAACAGGTGTTATTGCATGCAGAACTTTGGAAGCATCTGTCGACAGGATGCTTCATGCTCAGTATTGGTACTGACCACCCCTGCCTCCTCTATAGGATGTGCTCCCTCCATGAAGTGTGCCTCCTCCCTGAGGTGTGCCTCCTCCCTGGGGGTATGCCTCCTCCATGGCCTGTGCCTCCTCCATGGGGGTGTGCCTTCTCCATGTTGGGTACCTCCTCCATGGGGTGTGTCTTTCAGGATTTTACATTTACCAGCTGTGCTTCTTTAGCTATTTGTAATATGTAATGTGATAAAATGTTGGAGTAAATGGTCATCAGATACAACTCACATATGACATCCTAAAACCACATGTGTACACAACAAATTCTCGACTGTATGGACCATAGTACTCCAATAATATATTTGAGTGTTAAATGGGATTGCACATACAACAGTGCAGTTCATCCCCTGGCAGGCTGTGCTGTTTCAGTCTGGCTCACTTGAGAAATTACTAGTCATCAGGAAGAGGACTTGTGGCAATTTTTTGCTCTGCATATGTCTCGCTTAACATATTTTGTAGATATTTTGCCGAGAACATTACCAATTAGGATACAGTACATGTGGAGCAATAGGTTATTTGGGAAACAGCTTCTTCTTGGTGAGGTACAGACTGAGGATGCCATGCAGATTGTCTGGGTAATGGAGTAGCAGGTGACTGAAGCTTGAGGGACAAAGACCTCTTCTTCTTCAGGAATTTTGGGTGACATGGTTTGCTTGTTTTCTCAGCATTAACAGGGTATGTGTTTATCTTTCTAATTCTCAATCTATGTTATTCCTGGACCTGTGCTTTTTAGGACTTCGAGTTTTCTTTGTCTTTAGTAAGATCACTGAATTCATTTCCCTCTGAACAGCTGAAGATCAAGGCTGGCCTCATGCACTCCAGTTCCTCAGATGGTAACTGTGCAAGGTAGATCTGCCTTCCTTTCAAGTGTGACTTTCTAATCTCGTAGGAAAACATTGTTTTTCATACCTTCTCAAGATTCATCTGTAAAACAAGCTTACTTTTTGGAATATCGAATCACCTCTGCCAGAGAAATGGAATGATAAGCGGAAACTGCTGCTTTGGAGAGTATTCTGATGACCAGGTATACAAAAATGGGAGTTACCATGTGAATATGAATGTGGTGCTTTAAACATAATCAAGCAACAAGAAATTCGTGAATGGCCTTGGGCCTGGTCCCTGGTGAAGGTGTTGTCAGTGCCGGAGAAGCAGCTGGGCTTCCTTCTCACAGTGGATCATAGGGGAGCAAGTAGGCATTGACTCTGCTGAGTGGGAAGTTAAGAGGAGGGGGAGATGGAGAGTAAGGGGAGGGACTGGAAGACAGGACACAGGCACAGTACTGGGGGATGAAGGAAACAGATCTTTGGTAGCAGGACCCTGAAAGCTTCCTGCTGGGAAAGGGCCAGCCAGGTCACATAACTGAATTCTTTTGGAGGAAGACTGTGCTTCCTTACAGCCTTGATAATTCTTCATCCCCAGTGGCCTGTGTTGTGCCTTTCTTGAGAAAATAAGAATCTGGGATCCTGTTGCATTCTTATTACTTTAATACAAAGGGGACAGCCACAAGTGATCTCATTGCTTCCCTGTTCTGAAGAAAAATTCAATCCATGTTTGTCTTTTTTTCTCTGGCTTTGTTCAATTCTGAAGCTGGACTATAGGTTGGGGGTAATCCTTTTTGCAGTTTTGAGATTTAATTGAGGGGGCAGCTGTGATTCAAAATCTGTCTGCAGATCCCAGTATCCACTGACAGGTGCATGGATAATCTGGAACCCACTTCCTACTGCTTTGCAATCTGTCCATGCAATGGGGTTATAGGTTTACTCCCTGAAAGCAAAATGAGGTAAGAAAAAGGAAAAGAATGGAACAGGGAGTGGGGGGGAAGAGGAAGGTGGAGAGAGAGAAGAGTAAAAGGGAAAACAGACACGTACACTAGCAAATGAAAAGAGACACAAAGACAGATACGAGCAAAACAACAACAACAACAACAACAACAACAAACCAACAAACATACAAAAAAACTAAAACATCCAATCATACAGACGTACAAGCTAACCAACCTCCTTATTGGTGTACTATTCCCCTATACAAACATGCACTCCGAAGAGAAAAAAATAAAATAAAATAGAACAAAGTCAGTAAACTAACAGAACCAAAGCAAGTATGAAAACGTTATTGATAATAGTAAGAAGAGAGAGAAAAGGGAAAAAAAGATTGGTAAGAAAAACAGACAAAGAATAAAAAAAATTAAAACAAGGGAACCAAGCACACTCTGAGACTTTTCCTTTAAGTCCAATGTCCTTTCAGCTCTGATTTCTAGCTCTCATTGCAGGCTGGTGGAGTTGCTCACAGTTGGGGTCAGTTGCCCCTGGCCTGCGGTGGGTGGTGGATCAGATCTGGGCTGCCTGCCAAATCTGCCCCACAGATCTGGCCTGTGTCTATTTAGCATGGGGGAGGGGCTTCTGTCTCTCCCATTTTGATGTTGTTACCTTGGATCCCAAACTGGGACATGGGCCGAGCTGGGTGGAGCTGATCTCAGGCTCCAGCTAATCTGTTTGTTTTTTCGCTGCAGCCCTGGGGAGCTGGGGAAGGTAGAATGCGGGACTGCCGGCCGATGCAGGCCAGGTAGCACTGGGCTACTCGGCCTGGCTGGGTGGAGTGGTGCAGCAGGCAGTGGAGGCCGGAACTCCATGGCCGCAGGAGCCAAGGGCTGCCCAGGGCGGGAGGGAGCAGGCAGTGGTGGTGGTGGCGGCAGCGGCAGCTGCTGCTTCAGCAGTTCCGTATGTGGGAGGAGCTCCACAAGCCGGGCAGGTGAGGGGTGAGGTGTGGCAGCAGCGGTGGCAGCTTCGGTCGTGCGGTGCTTGGGGTAGGGGAGGCTTCACAGTCAGGAGGTGGGTCGCCTCAGGTGGGAGCTGCTGTGGCAGCGGTGGAGCAGCATGGGAAGAGCTGGCTGGCCTCGGTGAGAGCCGCCCATGTTTGCCTTTTTAAAGAATAACAAGTAGATATTTCTGGCAATAAGATTCCTTTATCCACTTTTATCCCTGACCTGTGTATTAGTTTGCTCAGGCTGCTGTAATAAAGTACCACAAACTAAGTGGCTTAAGCCACAGAAATTTGTTTCCTCATGGTTCTGGAGGCTGGAAGTCCATGATGAGGCATCAACAGGACTGTATTCCTCTTCCCTCTGAAGGCAGTGAGAGAAGAGTCTGGTTCAGGCCTCTTTCCTTGGCTGGCTGATGGCCATATCATGTTTCTGTGGCATTCTTCTGCTGTGCGTGTCTGTGTCTGCATTTCCCCTTTTTATAAGGACACTGGTCATATTGGGTGAAGGCCCACCCTAATGGCTGCATTTTAACTTAATCACCTTTTTAAAGATTCTATCTCTAAGTTTACTCACATTCTGTGGCATTTGGGGTTAGGACTTCAACATATATGTTTTGGGGGGGGATACAATTCAACTCACAACAGCTAGTCAGAGGTATTCAGAATGTTTTACAATCAGCTAGTATGTGTGAAGTAAGATAAAGTAATATATAGGTTTGATTTCTGTTAAAAAGGATAGAACCAATGGAGAGTGAGGGAGAATGTATCCTGATGGATAACCATGCTGACTCTCCAAGTCTGTGGTGCACGGCTATCTATGCCTTAGAGGAGAGTCTAATGGTCATCCTGTCCAGTTATGCCAGCCTCTCCCAATTCCCCTGGTGATCAGGATGACCCATGACTGACCCACCCCCAGGAATTCTTTGTTAATAAGCTGTTCTGGAGAGTCTTATCGTGGGATAGCTTTGGGATACATGGATTTTGATGTATAGAAATACATCAGTATAATCAATTCCTCACTGTTCTTGAGTAAGGAACAGAGAAAGCTTTGAGGGAAGTGGGGGGATGGTTGGGGATGGACACACTTGGGATGCTGGAGCCCTTCCGTTGTGCCAGGATAGGTGTGGTCAACAGTACATGGGGTGTGCATAGTTGGGAGATTACTCTGGGTTCCTGTAGGACACAGGGGTATGCAGACTTGAGGTGCTCAGTAAAATCTACAAGCCCTGCTTCAGAGGTTGGATTTAGCAGGTCTGTAGTGGTATCAGAGCACTGTCAGGACAGGCTGTCATGCTATGTGAAGAAGCAACCGTGGTATCTCAGTGATCTTTGTACCCACTGTGCCTGACAGAGGCTCTGGTCATCATTTGTTCTCAGAGACCTGAGTTGCTGGTCACCACAGCAGAGGGAATAGCATATAAGTGACACAGGCATGCCCCACCCGGTCACAAAGGTCCAGGACAGCCCAGCCTTCCAAGTGCTCAAGAGAGGAGAGAGCATGACCTATTTGGTGAAAAGCACAAATAACCACCAGGGTCTGCTCCTGTAGTCACCAAATATTCAGCTAATGCTGCTTCTTGCTAGTATTTTTATAGCATTTTTGGATTTATGTACTTTAGGAATATTGGTGTATAGGTTCCTTTCTTGTAATGTCCTTTTTTGTTGTCCTTGTAGGATGAATACAAAAGTATTTCCTATTTTTTTGCAAAAGGTTATATAAAGTCTTGTTGATAAAAAGATGCCAAACTTGCCAGGCTCGGTGGCTCAGCCTGTAATCCCGTGCCTTGGGAGGTTGAGGTGAGTGGATTGCCTGAGTCTGCGGGTTCGAGATCCGCCTGGGCAACTTGACGAGACCTCATCTCTACAATAAATCAAAAAATTAGCTGGGCGTGGTAGCGCGCACCTGTAGTTCCAGCTCCTTGGAAGGCGGAGGCGGAAGGATCGCCGGAGCCCAGCTGGTCAAGGCTGCGGTGGCCGGGAGTGGCCACTGCACTCCAGTCTGGGCGACAGAGTGAGACTCCAACTCAAAAAAAAAAGCCAATCTCTGTAAAATATTCCATGCCAACT